CCACGTCCTCTGGCCTCTCCGTGATGGGTTCAGATCCATGAGATAAATCACCTCAGGTGTGAGGGATCTGATAAGGGATAGATAAAACCCTGGTTTTTGGGATAAACCTGTGCTTTCAGAGCAGCTACACCGGGATGAATTCCTTGCCGTTCCCTTCTCCTGCTTGCACTGCAAATCCTACAAAGAGCCAGGTCCTGAAATGCATTTTAATACTCACAAATCCTGCTCTGGGTGGGAACTTGAAGCTCCCTCCCCATCACGCTGAAAACAATAATTTTCTAAGAATTCTCGCAGCGTTTCTGAACTCAATGAAAGATTCTTTGTTTGAGTTTCAAGCCAAGCTCGAACGGGGCTGAAGCTCTTTGATGTGGTAAACAGCCCATGGGGGTTTTTTTGGAGGGTTTTCATGCTAGCTCAAGTTCTGAGAACATCTGAATTGTAAACACGAGTTCTCCAATCCCCAGAGCCCGGCCGGACCCTGTGACTGCGGGAATTCGCCAATGGAGCAGGAGGAAGGCAAACACTGTAATCGAGCTCCCGGGACGCTCGTAAGTGCGATTATTTGCAGTGGATGGGTTGGATAAAAGAACTCACTGGAGCAGGGAAGGAGAACAAAACAGCGCCGGGAGGTGACCGAACAGGTTTGAGAGGGGGAAAACTCCCGGGTGGTGCTGCACAGGCCAGAAATGCATTCCCCAAAGGCCGGGGAGCGAGTTGGGGTGTCGGGGTTCGCTTCCCGCACCGCGCTTGGGAGGAGCCGCAGAGGCAAACCTGGAGCGCCCCACTCATCCCTTCCTTCTGCAGCTTTCCAAAAAGGGAAAAAAACACCAACCCACTGGTGCGTCTCCAGCTGATCCAAGCCAATGGCACGTCGCAGGGAGGAGGACGAGCACACCTGGAATCCTCAGATTCAGTCAAAGAAAGAAACTGAGAATTTCTAGCCAGGCAAAAAGCCTGGGAAAGAGCTGGGGAAGAATGTAAATAATTCTTTATATCTCTTGTTTTTCACATTGTTCATAGTTAAGTTCTATCACTGTGCGTCAAGCACTGTACACCAATGCTGTGTGTTGTTTTCACTTCAGAACCAATGGAGTTGGTCCTCACAAAGCTCTGTATAAAAGAGCAGTGTATTTTGAATAAATCAGAGTTTTACTCTCACAACCTTCTGATCTGGTCAGAGTTTCTTCATTCCCGAGCAGAACAATCAGCCTTTGTCCCCCGGGACACCAAGCTCAAAGCTCAGCTGAGCTGTTCCACGGAGCTGCCCCATCCTGCTGCTCCTTCCATCCTGCCCTTCGCTCCCTCCTGGGGAACTCAGCGGGGTTTGGGGCCTCCAGAAAAATCAAATAACCAATATTGGGGATGAACCCCCCTGCGTGTGCCGGCTTTGGGCTCACTGGTTTGACCCTGAGCTTCCTGTAGGCTCTGGAGCTGCTCTGCTGTGGGACCAGCCCCTGGCACACCCCTGGGCTGGGGACTCTCCAGAGGGTCTTCCTGCAAAATTGGAGGGATAAATGGATCCTTTCTGGGAATCTGTCCCAGTTCCTTGTGGCCCTGCAGACACCTGCCAGGCACAAAGCCCATCAGACTTGCAAATCCACAGGCTGGGATCAGCTGATCCCAAAGCAAAACAGAGGGAAGGATCCCTCCCTCTGGAGATGCCTCATGCAAGGCTCCACCAGCTTCCAAACCCATCCTCGTGCCAGAGGGATCAGGTTTTCCCATTCTTCCTTGGCAAGATTTAACGTCCCATCTCTCCCACCCCATTCCTGCCCACCCTGGAGCCTGCCCAGGTTGCCAGCACCCTTTGGAAATGGATTTTGCACACTTCCGTGGAATTTCTGAACCCTTCTCCAAAGCCAGGAGGATCCCCAAGGGAGGGAATTCTCCCTGGGCATCTCATTCCAGGTCCAGAGCAAAATTCCAAAGCAGCCATCTCCCCTTTCCCTGCAGAAAAGCCAGATTTATTCCCTGCCTGCAGCTCCTGAGATTCCAAGGAAATGAATCATCCCCTGGGAGCTGTGCTGGGTACTCCAACATCTCTCCTAAAAAGTAAAGGAGCTTTATTTATGGAAGGCAGAACTCTCCTGGCCCTGACCAGGACCCGTCACCCTGGTTCCAAGGCCCTGGAGCAGCAAGAAGCAGGAAAAGCCATCCCTGCTCCAAGGGACAGCCACCCTCAAGCCACCACAGCCACATTCACGACAAGGATGCAGCAAATGAGGTGCAGGATGTGGCACAGGGACAGGGCACGATTGAAACAGCTCCTGAAAGCTGGAGCATTCCTAAAAATGCTGCCTCCAGCTTCTCCAGTGATCTAGGAGTAAAACCCCTGCCAAGATAAAGTCAGAGGAGCACCACAGCACTTGCACCCTGTTCCAAAGCTCTTCCCCACCACTGGAAGGGTCTGGCAGTGCCATTCCCGGCACTGAGGAGGTGAAGTGCCAGGAAAAGCTCTGGGAACAGCACTTTCCTCATCCCATCTGATGTGTCCAAGCACCCTCCAGATGCTGGAGATGTTTTATTCCTCCTGAGCCCCCCCAGCCCAGAGGGAGCCAAGAACAGGGTGGGGAAGGGCCTGTGGGGCAGGAACTGGGATCAGGGGACAAAAAAAGAGCCCTTTGCTGCTGTTCCTCAGCCTGCAGCCAAGGAAAATCCCTTTCCACACTCATCACCGTCTTCCTGGTTTCCCACTACAGCCTCACCCCCACTGGGAGCTGAGTGATCCCAGGGTGCTTCCCCAGCCCCAGGTGCCCAGGAATGCTGTGGCAGCCAGATGGGAGCAAGGAGAAATCCCCCAGGCCCCTCACTCATCCAGGAGAGACCTGACAGCCACACGAAGAGATCAGCTCCTCCTCTCCTGAAATGCTCCCTGGAGGTGCCATTATTATTATTATTATTATACTATTATTATTATTATTATTATTATTATTATTATTATTATTATTATTATTATTATTATTATTATTATTATTATTATTCCCTCCAGCATCAACCACTGGAGATTTAAAGAGGAAAATGCTTTTTCTGGCTGATCTGACTCAAATCAGGAAGGAAAAGTCCTTTCATCTCACAAGCCCTTTTCCCTCCTCTTTTCTCTGGGTTGTTTTTTTTTGGTTGGAAAAGCCAAGGAAAGGGAAAATTTGATTGGAAATTCCACAAAGGCTCTCTTTCCGCCTGAGTCCAATCCAATAAAACTTTCAACAGCAAAGAGCTCCCACCTGAAAAGCAATTTTAGGGGGATATATGGCAGTAGGACTTCGAAACCACAGGGATAATTTGCCCTTGCCTCTTCCCAAGCTCAGGCAGCCAGAGCAGCGGGAATTGCCCCGAGCTGGAGCCTGACAGGTCACAGCCTTTGGCACCAGCCTTGTCAAGCTGATAAAAACCCTCTGGAGCAAAGGCTTCCAGCTGCTCCAGCCTCCAGGCACGGCTCCCGCAGTGCCACAGCCTCTGCAACTCATCAGGAGACAGGGGCCAGGGCATGGAAGCTCCTGCCCGGGGACTGTGGGGTCCAGCCCGAGGCTCTTGGGGTGTCCCAGCACGGCCCTGCTCCCTGCCTGGCTTTGGGGATCCATGGGATCTGCTCAGCTCCACAGCCACTGTCCCGGGATCCTGCTGCCCAGAAAGGGACACAGGAGGGTCGGTGACAAAGGGTGACACCTCCAAGGCCACCCCTCAGCTGCCACCACCCCGGAACAAAGTGGGGCCAAACTGGGAGGAGAAAGCGCCTTTCCCTTGGAAGCACAGCAGGGATGAGGGGGGTGAAGGCGTCCCCAGCCATGGGTGTACCCATGAGGGGGACAAGAGGGGGCTCAGGGCCAGCCATGGCCGTGGCCACACTGCCTCATCCCACACGGAGGGAAAAGGCAAGAAGCCAAGCTCACCCTCTCCCAGCCTGTTTTAGGGGGTTTGGAGGGAGCTGACAGCTTTTCCCACTGGGCAGGCCCAGGGACAGTCCCAGCTTTCCAAGAGCCACCACCCAGCTCTGATCCTGGTGATCCCCAAAGCTCCACGGAGGAGCAGGAATCCCACAGGGGAGGAAGGAATGGCTCCCCTGTTTGACCCCACACCCACGAGCACCGCTGACATCCCCTGTGGATCTCCAGGAAATCCAGGGATGGGGACACGGCCTCCACCTCCCTCTGCGAGACACAGCCCAAAATGGCCCTTGGCACACCGGTGACGTGGGGAGCAGAGCGGGGCAGTGGGCACAGGGCCACACTGGCTGGTGCCACCCGCACTGGGGTGGCCTTTCGGGGGTCCCTCTGGGGGAGCAGCAGTGGGTGGGGGTCCCTGCCTGGCCCCGGAGCCAGGCCCGGAGCGCTCCCGCCCCGATCAAAATGGCGCTGGGGCTGTGGGCTTGGGGTTAATCATTACCCCGGGCACCCCGCGCCCCACGGAGCGGGAAAAGGGGAAACCTCAGCTCCAGGGTGGGGCCGGGCCTGCCTCACCCTCCTTCCCAGCAGGAAGAGCGGCCGCAGGCTCTGGCGGTGGGACACGGAGCCTGGTCCCCCAACATGGGGTGGGCATGCAGGAACATCCCAAAGCCTTATCCAGGTCTTTCTCTGGGGAAAATGCTGCCAGGGAATCTCAAGGAGCATTCCTTCCCGGCCGCGGTGGCGGAAAAGTACAGAAAATAAAATGAAAATAATGTCCCGCGTCCCATCCAGCACACGCAGGCACAGCGATCCAGATCCCAAATCCTTTCCCGGTGGGAGAGCCCCTGGACACCTCTTGGCCTGCCAACCCCAGGGACAGAGCCCACACAGGGGAGTTTTGAAGGCAGACAGGAGGCAAAAAACCCAAACCAAAATTCCCGAACAAAACCCAACACGCCCAGGAGAGAACCCAGCGGAGGGGGAAACGGGAGCCGACAGAGCCACGGAGGTGTCGCAGCAACGACGGGAAAAACAAAGCAGAATTCCGCCCAAATCCCCAAGTTTTGGAGAGGCTCCGCTCACCTGAGCGGGCGGGAGCGGCCCCTTCCCGAGGCTTACCTGTGCCAGGTCGGGAGGGGTCTCCAGGGGCCGGGAGGGGGCTTTGATGTCCTCGAAGACCGGGGTGTCCTCGCTGGGGTCCCCGGACATGCTGACGGGTTTGAGCGGTGCCAACACCGCGGCGTCCACCAGCCCGCTGCTCATCCCCCCGCGCCCCGCACGGGGACGGGCCCGGGAAACGGGGAAAAAAGGGGGGGAAAAGGGGAGAACAACGAAGGGGAAGGGAAAAAAAAAAACCCTGAGGCGAGGCGGAGCGAGCTGCGCTGGTGGGAGGCCGGTGGCGGTCGGGAAGGCTTTACCTGGCCGCGGGAAGGTTTACCTGGCCGCGGGAGGAGGAAACGCCGCCGGGAAGCGGCGCGGTGATGCGGAGCCAATCGGCTCCCGGCGCCGGCCCCGCCGGGACACCCGCTCATAAAAGGGCCACAGGGTGGCCCGGAGCTCCGGCTGGCAGCTCGGGAAGCTGCAGCACCCCCAAACCCAGCGCCAAGCTCTGCCGCCAGGTGTGCTTCGATAGGGAGCTCAGGATGATCCCACACCCAGGATTTGATCCCCAATCCCAACCCCAAGTGGGTGGCCAGGAGCTCTGTCACCAGCCATGATCCCACACAGAGCTCAGGATGATCCCACACACAGGATCTGATCCCCAATCCCAACCCCAAACTCTGTCACCAGCCATGATCCCACACCCAGGATTTGATCCCCAATCCCAACCCCAAACTCTGTCACCAGCCGTGATCCCACACAGAGCTCAGGATGATCCCACACCCAAAATTTGATCCCCAGTCTCAACCCCAAACTCTGTCACCAGCCATGATCCCACACAGAGCTCAGGATGATCCCACACCCAGGATTCAATCCCAATCCCAACCCCAAACTCTGTCACCAGCCATGACCCCACACAGAGCTCAGGATGATCCCACACCCAAAATTTGATCCCCAATCCCAAACCCAAACTCTGTCACCAGCCATGATCCCACACAGAGCTCAGGATGATCCCACACCCAGGATTTGATCCCCAATTCCAACCCCAAATTCTGTCACCAGCCATGATCCCACACAGAGCTCAGGATGATCCCACACCCAGGATTTGATCCCCAATCCCAACCCCAAATTCTGTCACCAGCCATGATCCCACACAGAGCTCAGGATGATCCCACACCCAGGATTTGATCCCCAAACTCTGTCACCAGCCATGACCCCACACAGAGCTCAGGATTATCCCACACCCAGGATTTGATCCCCAATCCCAACCCCAAGCTCCATCACCAGCCATGATCCCACACCCAGGATTTGATCCCCAATCCCAAACCCAAGCTCCATCATCAGCCATGACCCCACACAGAGCTCAGGAAGTTCCAGCACTCCAGGATTTGATCCCCAATCCCAAACCCAATCTCCATCACCAGCCATGACCCCACACAGAGCTCAGGATGATCCCACACCCAGGATTCGATCCCAAATCCCAAACCCAAACTCTGTCACCAGCCATGATCCCACACAGAGCTCAGGATGATCCCACACCCAGGATTTGATCCCCAATCCCAAACTCTGTCACCAGCCATGATCCCACACAGAGCTCAGGATGATCCCACACGATGGGATTTGATCCCCAATCCCAACCCCAAACTCTGTCACCAGCCATGATCCCACACAGAGCTCAGGATGATCCCACACCCGGGGATTTGATCCCCAATCCCAACCCCAAACTCTGTCACCAGCCACGATCCCACACAGAGCTCAGGATGATCCCACACCCAGGATTTGATCCCCAATCCCAACCCCAAACTCTGTCATCAGCCATGATCCCACACAGAGCTCAGGATGATCCCACACCCAGGATTTGATCCCCAGTCCCAAACCCAAACTCTGTCACCAGCCATGATCCCACACAGAGCTCAGGATGAGCCCACACCCAAAATTTGATCCCCAATCCCAACCCCAAACTCTGTCACCAGCCATGATCCCACACAGAGCTCAGGATGATCCCACACCCAGGATTTGATCCCCAATCCCAAACCCAAGCTCCATCATCAGCCATGACCCCACACAGAGCTCAGGATGATCCCACACCCAAAATTTGATCCCCAATCCCAAACCCAAACTCTGTCACCAGCCATGACCCCACACAGAGCTCAGGATGATCCCACACCCAGGATTTGATCCCCAATCCCAAACCCAAACTCTGTCACCAGCCATGATCCCACACAGAGCTCAGGATGATCCCACACCCAAAATTTGATCCCCAGTCCCAACCCCAAATTCTGTCACCAGCCATGATCCCACACCCAGGATTTGATCCCCAATCCCAACCCCAAACTCTGTCACCAGCCATGATCCCACACCCAGGATTTGATCCCCAATCCCAACCCCAAACTCTGTCACCAGCCACGATCCCACACAGAGCGCAGGATGATCCCACACACTGGGATTTGATCCCCAATCCCAACCCCAAACTCTGTCACCAGCCATGATCCCACACAGAGCTCAGGATGATCCCACACCCAAAATCTGATCCCAAATCCCAACCCCAAACTCTGTCACCAGCCGTGACCCCACACAGAGCTCAGGATGATCCCACACCCAAAATTTGATCCCCAATCCCAAACCCAAACTCTGTCACCAGCCATGACCCCACACAGAGCTCAGGATGATCCCACACCCAAAATTTGATCCCCAATCCCAAACCCAAATTCTGTCACCAGCCATGACCCCACACAGAGCTCAGGATGATCCCACACCCAAAATTTGATCCCCAATCCCAACCCCAAACTCTGTCACCAGCCATGATCCCACACAGAGCTCAGGATGATCCCACACCCAGGATTTGATCCCCAATCCCAAACCCAAGCTCCATCATCAGCCATGACCCCACACAGAGCTCAGGATGATCCCACGCCCAAAATTTGATCCCCAATCCCAAACCCAAACTCTGTCACCAGCCATGACCCCACACAGAGCTCAGGATGATCCCACACCCCAGGATTTGATCCCCAATCCCAAACCCAAGCTCCATCATCAGCCATGACCCCACACAGAGCACAGGAAGTTCCAGCACTCCAGGATTTGATCCCCAATCCCAAACCCAAACTCTGTCACCAGCCATGATCCCACACAGAGCTCAGGATGATCCCACACCCAGGATTTAATCCCAATCCCAACCCCAAACTCTGTCACCAGCCATGATCCCACACAGAGCTCAGGATGATCCCACACCCAAAATTTGATCCCCAATCCCAAACCCAAACTCTGTCACTGCCATGATCCCACACAGAGCTCAGGATGATCCCACACCCACGACTTGATCCCCAATCCCAACCCCAAACTCTGTTACCAGCCATGATCCCACACAGAGCTCAGGATGATCCCACACCCAGGATTTGATCCCAAATCCCAACCCCAAACTCTGTCACCAGCCATGATCCCACACAGAGCCCAGGAAATTCCAGCACTCCAAGATTCAATCCCAATCCCAAACCCTGAACTCTTCCAGGAGCCTCATCAGCCATGGGGCCCAGCCAGCTCCAGCACCACCAGGATGGAGGGGTCATTCCCCACCCCAAGGCCTGGAACACCCCCCCAGCTGGGCCATTGTCCCCAAACTGAGTCCCCTGCACTGAAACAAGGGGGATATTCTATTTTTTTACAGACATGGGTACTTTTCAATGAGAAAATGCCATTTTTTTCATGAATGGGTCAATTTTGCAACAAAACTAATTTTGAGACTAAATTCCTGCTTGCTCATACTTCTCATTCCCACGGAGAAAAAGTGAAGGATCAAAACTAAAAGGGAAGGATCGAAACTAAAAAGGACAAACCCTGAAGGAAAAGAAAAGCAACAGTTGCAAAAGCACAGACAGGTAGGAGGGCACAGGGTTCATATGGAGACACCAGGCAACTGTGTTTGGGTTTCACTTATGGAAAGAAAGGAGTGTAAAGATCCAGAGATACAAGGGAATAAAAATCACCTTTCTGGCACAGATCTTAAAAAAAAAAAAAAAAAAAAAAAAAAAAAAGCCATTCTGCTCCAGATAATCCAGCCCCGAGTTTCCCCAGCTCCTCCCCAAGGAAGAGCCTGGATCCTCCTCCTCTCTGTGTTCACCCGTCCCAAATCAGCCCCAGATTCCCCACTTCCCTGTATGTCCTAGGCAGGATCTCACACACACAGGGATGCTGCTGTTACCACCTTGGGGACATCCCAGCAGCTCCTACAGGAGTAGGGGCCAAGGCTGCCCTACTCCCCTGGCCAAATGGAAAGCAGCTGCAGTGCTGCCAGGGCACGGGCAGTGCTGCCATGCCTGTTCCCGTGGCATTCCTGCCACCCCAGGGCCTTCATGTGAGACCTGTGACCACTCAGAGCAGGAGCCACAGCAGAGGTTTGGTGTCACAGCTGTCACCCCACACCAGGGACCCAAAACATCAGCTGGGTGGCTGAGCATCCCAGAGAGCAGAGCTTACGAGCCCTTGGGAGGGCAAACACAGGAACAGCTCAGGCCTGGCAGGGTTTTGTTATCCAGGGAAGCTGTGGCTGCCCCTGGATCCCTGGCAGTGCCCAAGGCCAGACTGGACACTGGGGCTGGAGCAGCCTGGGACAGTGGGAGGTGTCCCTGCCATGGCAGGGGTGGGACGGGATGGCCTTCAAGTTTCTTTCAGCCCAAACCATTCCATGATTCCGTTATAAAAACCACAAGTGTTCCCTTTTTCTCCATCCCACGCGCAGCCGGGTGAATCCCATTCCCGTTCCCGCAGCAGGGCTCGCTCCAGGCTGCTCCTGCCCGGCAGGGATCAATGCACGATTTCCCAAGGCGGAGCTGCCCCTCCTTGCAGGGATGGGCCAAACGCAGGCAGTGCCCTTATCTGCCCCGGGAGAACGGCCTTGGGTCCCTCTCTGCCACCGGCACTTCGCCCCGGCCGGTCCGGTTGTGTCCCCACGTGCCACCCGCGATGGCACCGAGATAAGGGCGGCTCCCCGTCACCCGGCCACCGAGGGATCCCCTCCCGACTCCCGCACCTTCTCCTCCTCATCGCACGCACAGTTCCCTTCTGAAAAGCCGCACAGAGAGGCTGAAGGGGGCTTTGGGAAGGGAGATCCTGCGCACGGAGGGATGGAGCTGAAAGGGGGTCCCAAGCCAGGGGCTGGGGCTGCTGGGGGTCGCTGGGGGAGAACCGGGGAGCCAGCCCCTGATCCCGGGCCCATGGGAATGGTGAGGAAGGACAGCCAGGTCCTCCCCTCACAAGGGAGCAGGAGGCAGGTGAAGGCCCGAATTACAGAGACTTCAGCTAAAAGGCAAGAAAGGCACCAAATTTTCAGGAAATCTGGATCAGGTTGGGATCAGCTCCCACTCCCCAGATCACCCCAGGCACAGCCAGAGGCGGCCCCAGCCTACCCCCAGCATCCCCACAGCCACCCTCACACCCCACTACCGGGCTGGCTCCCCAAGGGACCCCCAAGAGACCCCACTCAGGTCCCACCCAGGAGGGGGGGCTGGGGAAGGGGCCAGGCCCGGGCTGGGGATCCCTGGCCCTGCTTTCCTCCTGCAGCAGCTCTTCCCTCCCTGCTGCCACCCCAAACACCCCCGGAGCACCCACCTCTCTCGGGGCCGTGGTGGACATCCCCAGTCCGCTCTGGCTGTGCCTCGCTGGGCCGAGGCCACCCCGGGCTTGTGCCGGGAGCTCCTCGGGCTCTGTGGCCGGGGGACACCCCGCTCGCCTGTCCCCACGCCCGGCACACAAAGGTCTGCAAAGCTGCCGGAGCAGCCCCGCGCCTCCCCCTCTCCCCCACCGAAACCCAAAACCACCTATTTTTGTCTTTTCCTTTCTCCTCCTCGGGAGGTTTCCAGCCGTCAAATGCTTCCCGGGAGCCCTTCAAAGGAAAAGCGGCCGCCCCGTCCCATCCACTTGCTAAACCAGTCTGAGCAGTGCCGGGCGGGCGGGCAGGAGAGGCCCCGGCACCCCCGACAGGGACAGGGACAAGGAACCGTCCGCAGGGACCGCAGGGATGCCACAGCCAGGGCATCGCCACCCCACTGCCCCCCGGGACACGGGGGTGCCACAGGCGGCAGGACCCCCCGGCAGGCTGCAGAGCCCCTCCCAGGCACTGCTGGTTCAGCAGGGAAGCAGTTCGGGGATTGCTAAATTCTTCTCCCAGCCGTGGAAAAGTGCAGGCAGGTGATGGGGAAAGAACCCAGAGGAGATGGGGAGGCCCCCAGTATCCCCAGTGGGGGAGCACTGGGAGGCACCACAGCCCCGGCAGGGAGATGGAGCTCCAGGCATTCCTGGGAGAGGAGGAGGGAGGTGAGGAAGCAGAAGGGCCTGAGGCTGAGGTGTTTCCAGGACAAAAATTCAGGGTGGGAGGAAGGGGATGGTATCGGCCTTTTTCCCTCCAAAACCCAGCCTTGGACCTTTGCCAAGCCTGGGAAACAACCGGGAGGGTTTTCTGGGCTCCCACCAAGCACAGCCCCAGGCACTGGAGAATTCCCAGGGGATGTGGAGCTGGATGTGCCCCTCATGCCCCAGGGTCTGGCAGCCACTGCCAGGAGGCTTTGCTGAAGCTCAGGGACCACCTGTGCCCAGAATGGGGGTGGCACAGCCCTCCCTGGGGTTCACATTGTCCTTGGCATGTGCTGCAGGACAAACCCAGGTGACAGGGATGGGGCAGGTCAGGGTGAGAGCCAGGGGGGCCCGTGGCTGTGGAAAGGGCTCTGACAGCCCCAGCACAGCACAGGGAGCAGCTGGAGGCCCCAGGCCCAGCGATGTCAGTGGGGATCTCAAGTGGGGCTGCTCAGAGCAATTAAAAACCATCAGGGCCTTCACTGGGAGGAAGCACAGCCTGGAGCCCCTGGGATGGCGGGTCCAGCCCCTGGGGATGGGTTGGCACCTGCTCCTGTGTGGCATCTTCTCCAGCCACAGGGTGATGCCCACACACCGCTGTCCCTTTGTCACGGGCGTTTGACACAGGACCCTGTGTGACCCCCAAACTTCTGCAGCTCCTCCGGAGACCTGGGGGCTGTCCCCCTATTCCCACGGGGGTTTGATGCCCCCGTGCTTGCAGAACTTCCAGGTTCCTTCCCACGGGCATTTTTAGGGCTTCTCACCCGTGCCAGGGGAGCACCGAGGGATCAGCGCTGCCACGGCGGCCCCCAGGCTCTCGGGGAAATTCCCAAAGAACGGGAATCCCTCGGCTCCTCCTCCAGCCGTCGCCCAGCGCGGGCCGCTGGCGCCACCGGGTGCCCGAGCGCCGCCACCGGGCCGGAGCAGCCTGGGGAATGAAGGACAGGAGGGTCCCCCCGAGCATGGCTTTGCCTACCAGCACCCCCAAAAGGTGCCACAGAGCCCAAGTGCCCCAAAGTGCCACCCTGAACCTAACACAGGGTGACAGCACCCCCAAAGAGCGCCCTGTCCCCTAAAGCGCACCTCCCGAGAGCCCCCAGAGGAAACCCCCTCAGGCCTGACACACACTGCCAGCACCCTGTGCCCCCCAAGGGACCCCCGGCTCTGGCTGAGGCTGCCAGCACCCCGGTGCCACCCCTGAGGGTGCCCACAGGATCGTGCAGGGGGTGACAAGGAGCCGGTTTGGGCAGGGGGTCCCCGTGGCAGCCTCGTGCCGGGTCCCCCACGCGTGTCCCAGGACCCAGCGCGGGGTGTGGTGGGTCGGGGGTCCCGCTTGTCCCTCGGCTGCCCCTCGATCCCGCTGGCTGAGCTGCGGGTGGGGCTGTGCCCGGTGTCCCCCGGGGCCGGGCTGGGCCCTTTAAGAAGCTCTACCATCTTTCATGCAAAATCCCCAAAAAGCTTCAATTGAAGAATTTAGAGATTTTTTTTTTTCCTTAGCATTCCTTAGACTCCTACATCTGGGTTGTTCATCAGGATGATGAAGAGAGCTGGGATGAGGCTGGAGCCCTGTGGAACCCCAGTAATGATAGGTGGCAGGCAGGTGTCACCCCACTCCCAAGCCAGGAGGCAGTTGCTCCCCCATCCCATGTGTTTATCCAGCATGTTTATCCCGGACATTTTGTCCAGAAGGACCCTGGGACAGACAGGATCAAAAGCTTTGCTGGAGTCCAAGAAGATTCCATCTCCTGGCTTTCCTTGATCAGCCAGGTGGGATACCCTGTCACAAAAGGAAATCAGGCTGAACAAAGCAGGACTTTCCCCTCATGGAGCTGTGACAACTGTGTTGTCTTCCAGGTGTTTTCCAATACTTCCCAGAATAATTTTTCCATGATTTTACTGGGCACTGAAGTGAGAGTGACAGGCTGTGGGTTCCGTGGTCCTCCTTCTTGCCCTTCTGGAAAATCAGGACAACAGTCCCCAGTTTCCAGCCAGCTGGGACCTCCTGGATTCCCAAGACCATTCAAAATCCTCAAGAGAGGCTTTGTGATGGCATCAGCAACTCTTTGGAGGATTCTCAGGTGAATCCCACCAGGTCCCATAGGGATTTGGAGGGATCCAGCTGGAGCAAGAGATCCTGCACAAGTTCGTTCAAGATCATTCCTGCAGTCCTGCTCACCCAGCTCAGGGCACTGGGAGCCCCTTCATCCATCCTCTGGACACAGAATGCCTTGAACAGCTCTGCCTTGTGCCTGTCCCCTTTGCGAGGTGACATCCTCACCCTGACCACGACAATCCACGGTATTTCTGCAGTGCCTCTTGCCATTAATAGGTTTGAACAAACATTCCCCAGCTGGCACCTTTCCAGCCACTCTGCCCCAGGCCTGCAGCTCGGGTGGGGTGGTTGTGGCAGGGACAGGTCCCAGCACTTCACCTGTGCCCAAGCAGACTCTCCCTCAGGCTGTGGGGGTCATGGACCACTTCAGGCCAGGGACAAGCTCTGCCCACGGCACACCCTGGCTGAGGAAAAGCCCTTTCCCAAGCAGCTGTGAGTTGTTTTCAGGTCCCTGAAGTGTCCCCCCAGCTCTCCTCACACCAGTTCCCCTATCCCCACACAGCCAGGGCAAAAGCACCAACTCAGAGGGAGTTTGGGAACTCCCTGTAGGGTCTGCCCCGAGCATGGGAGGTGTCATGGTCCCCATCACCCTTCCCACCATCCAACAGCTCAGAGCATCCAACCCCAAATCCTGACACCCTCCCAGCAACCAGGGGGATTGGCTGGAGGGGATAAAGAAACACTCCTCAAAAACCATTATTAAAAAGCAAAGCGTGTGGCCACAGCCGCTGGTTTAACTTAGAAACATTTCAAGTGGCCCAGAGTCTTCCAAAAAACCCAAGAGCTGCTGGCCCTCATCCCCCCCACCCTGTCCCACCCCCTTGTAGAATTCCATAAAATAAAAGTTCCATGTTCCACAAAGTTTTCCCTTCGTGTGGTGCTGATGGTGTTTGTGGGTCACTGTTGGGTTCCTCTTTTCCTCCTGGCTCTCCGTGCACCCAGCACTTCCCATGAAGCCCAGCACGTGCTGAGGGACACACAGAGAGGCGATGTCCCTTCTCCTGCTGGGACAGTCTGGGGATGGAGCAGGAATGGCCGTCAGCTCCTCCATCACCCCTCACCTGCCCTGTCCTTGCCACGGCTCCCAGGCACTGGGAGGGGCAGGGGACAGGGAGCACACTGGGGGCAACAACGGGCAGGAGGCTGAAGAGCCTGAGGCAGCTGCTGGGCGAATTCCAGGTGACGAGTCAAGGAGCCTCCAGGCGAGGACAAACCCAGGAATAAAAACAGCTGGCAACAAGAAGGGGGCAGCAGTCCAGAATCCATTGTTTGGCGTCCCGTGCCGTGCCGGCTGAGCTCCTGCAGCGAGCACGGCTCGGCCCCGGCGCTCCCGCAGTCCCGCCCCGCCCCGCAGGAGCCGCGGGGTGTGGATGGGTGGAGGGACGGAGGCGCTGCCGGCTCCCAGCGCGGCGGGCGCCGCTCACGATGCTCACATCATGACGTGCCGCCGGCGGTGCAGGGCCAGGTGGTCGGAGCGGGAGAAGCTGCGGTCGCAGTCCGAGCAGCGGAAGGGTTTGATGCCCGTGTGCTTGCGGAAGTGCCGGGTCAGCTCGTCCGAGCGGGCGAACTTCCAGGTGCAGCCTTCCCACGTGCATTTGTAGGGCTTCTCGCCTGTGTCAGGGGAGCACCGAGCGGTCAGCGCTGCCACAACGAGCCCCCAAAGCCCTCACGGAAATTCCAAACGGGGAGTCCCTCACCACCTCCACACCAGCACTCCCAAAGGGCCACCCAGGGACACAGCACCATCCCATGGGGGATCCAGGGACACCAATCCCACCCCTACCTGTGTGTATCCTCCGGTGGGCTTTGAGGTGGGAGCTTTTGGTGTAGACCTTATTGCAGCCCTCGAAGTCGCACTGGTGGATGCGCCGTTTCTTCAGGTCCGGGGAATCGGCTCTGGGGCCCCGCACCGCCGGCCTGCGGGAGCAGGGAGAGCTGGAGCCATGGCCCCGGGGCTCACGGGGGCTCAGGGGGATAGAGGGTGGGGAGGCACAGGCAGGAGGAGACTCACTCTCTCTGCAGGTCCTGGAAAGGCGCTGGGCCGCTCTCAGAGGCGCTGTCCTCGCTGTCGCTGTTCATGTCCATGGGGTACACGGAGCCAGGGTCCATTTTCACTGGAGGGGTCCGGGAAAGGAAAGCTTTAGGGCACAAAGTACCAAGGAGTGAGCACAGAACAGAGACATCTCCAAAACACCCACCTCACATTAGGGGTGCAGCGTTCTGCCTGCCCCTGCAGTGCTCCAAGCACCACCCGTCCCTACAGAAAATCAAATCCAAGTGGAGAGATAGAGAACCCCCAAAGGGAGGAAACAACTTGGGGGCACCACTTTTGGCTGCCTGCTCCTGCCCACAGCAGGGCAGATCCAGGTCCCCCACCCCAGATAAGGTGGGAAGCTGGGAATGTCCTGGGAAAGGGGATTGTGGGGGGCACAGGGAGCAGCTGAGCTGAAACCAGAGCTGCTGGCATGGCAGCAGGCAGCCAGTGGGAAGGGCAGGGCAGGCTGCCAGCAGCAGGATGGGTGGAGAACAGGCAGTGCCATGCCCTGTGTGTCCCTGCCCTCCCCATGTCCCCTGGGGGGCACAGGCTGGGGGCTGAGGGCCTTTGTATGAGAGTAGCACATGGCGGTGGCAGGGACACTGCACGGTGAAAAATGAGATTCCCTTCGAGGGTGCCCCTCCAGGAGGCAGGACAGACACCCTCCACCCCCCAGATTCCAGGGTTCCCCCCAGGCGCCCTTACCAGACCCAGCGTTCTTGCCGTCTCCCCCGATGAGGGGCACGGTAATGGCGGTGACTCCGTCCGTGGGCACCGTGGTGTAGACGACGGGGAGGGACTGCACCACCACGGGGATGGTCTGCAGGTTGCCCATCTTGCTGGGCAGGTTGACGGAGGGGATGGTGTGGATGACGTGGAGGATCTGCTGCCCGCCGCTGCCCTGCGTGGAGGCCAGGATGGAGCCGGGTGAGAGGACAGCGGGAATGGCCGAGGTGGAGCTGAGACCGGAGGGCGGGATGGACACGGTGCTGGAAGCGGGAAGCGGGGGAGCCACCAGCATGGGGGAAGACTGGACCGAGGTGGGAGGCGGTGGCGGCGGGGCCGAGGCCGGAGCCACCTTGGATTTATTGAGGGAGAGATCGACGGGCTCGGCCTGGGGCTGGCTGCAGTCGCTGGCCAGCAGCTCCTCGGGGGGCTCCGTCTTGATGTCGGCCAGCAGCACCGGGGGGTCGAGGGGGCCCTCAGCCAGCAGCGCCGACGAGCTCATGGCGGGCGTCGCCTTCCCCTGGCCCTGCAAGAGACCCGCCGTCCGTGAGCAGCCAGGGAAACTGAGGCACGGGGCGGGGGCGAAGAGGATTTTTTAACGGGCTCCCACCAACCAACCGACTGGGGCGGCGCCTCGGGGCGGCTCCGCCGGGGCGTGGGGCCACCCGGGGGTCGCCGGGGCGGGCATGGCGGGGCCCGCCCGTGCCCTGAGGCGGGGCCGGGCCCGCCCGTCCCTGTCGGACCCGCCCGTCCCTCACGGGCCCGCCCGGCCCCTCACGGCGGCGGCGGCGGCGCGCGCCGAGGGCGGGAACCGCAGGCCCCGCCCCCCCGCCCGCGCCTTTGTGCCGGGCCGGCCCCGCCCCCCGCGGGAGGGGCCGCCGGGGGCGTGTCCGCGCGCGGGGCGGTGGCGGCCCCGCCCCGCTCCTTCCCCCCGCGCCTTAAAGGGGCCGCGCCCCCCCGGCCCGCGCGCCCCCGCCCGGGGTCACTCCCGCACTGACCCGCGGGGCTCCCACGCGTGTCCGCCGCGCTCGCAGCCCCCTCCCGCCGCCCGCAGCACCATCTCCCGGGCCGCGCCGGCCGAGGTGCGAACGGCCCCGCGGCTCCACCTGGGCTCGGCCACGGGTGGAGCTTCTTAAAGGGCCCGGCCCGGCCCCCGCGGGAGGCACCGGGCACGGCCCCACCCGCGGCACGGCCGGCGCTGCGCCCCCGCGGGACCGCGACACAACCGAGGGACAAGCGGGACCCCCACCCGCACCGCACCCTGCGCTGCGTCCCGGGCCACGCGTGGGGGCAGCCGGTACGGGGAAAGCCCTGGCCGAGCGAGCTCCTCGTCGCCCCCCGCGCTACCCCGGGACCCCCCGGTGCTGCCCCGGGCTCCCCGCACGTACCTGCCCACGCAGGGACCGTCCCCGCCCGCGGAGCCCCCACGCACCGGCCTCGCGCGGCGGCCCCGCCCCGCCACACCCAGCGCCGCGCCCCGCGCACACGGCCCGGCCCCGCCCGGGGGGGGCGGCGGCTACAGCGCACCCCCGGCACCGGCACCGAGCCCAGGGCACCGGCACCGAGCCCGCCCACCACGGCACAGGGTCCTCGGCACCGGCACCGAACCCTCCCGATACCGGCACGGACCGCGAGGCACCGACACCGAACCCCCCCGATACCGGCGCCGAGTCCCCCCGGCACCGGCACGGAGCCCAAGGCACCGGCACTGAGTCCTCGGCACCGGCACCGAACCCTCCCCATACAGGCACCGAGCCCCCGGCAGCGAACCCCCCCGGCACCGGCACGGACCGCGAGGCACCGGCACCGAACCCTCCCGATACCGGCACGGACCGCGAGGCACCGGCACCGAACCCTCCCGATACCGCCGCCGAGCCCAATGCACCGGCAGCGAACCACAATCACACGCGGAGCCCCGAATTCACCGTCCCCATAAAACCGGGTCCCCCCAAAGCACCTTCACACTCTTCCCTGGTATCTGCCCTGATATCCCCCAAGAACCGCCCCCCCCCCACCCCCTCCACAGCCAGGGACCCCCCAACACAGGCACCGAGCCACGGAACCCCCAAACACAGCCCCCCACGAATCACCCCCAGATACAGCCGGGAGCCCCCCCAAACACACCCCAAAAAGAGCCAGAGACATCCCCCCTCCTCAGAACCCACCTCTTCACACCTGGGGACCCCCCGACACAAAGAGCCCCTCCAAGGGGGGTACACACGGTACCCCCCAGGCACCCCCAAACGGAGATAGAGACACCCCCCCAGTACCCACATATTAGGGGGATCCCCCAGCACAAACAATCAGCCAGGGTCCCCCATCAAACACCTCCATAACCAGCCAAGGACCCCCAAAACACCCCCCTCACACACTCACAAACTACCAGCACCCCCAAAAAACCTCCACTCTCAGGCAGGGACCCCCATAGAACCCCCCCAAATCCAGGGACCCCCAAAACACACCCCAGCATTGAGAGACACCCCTCAAACACCCCTTGCTCAGTCAGGGACCCCCTCCAACACACCCCCAGCTCCTCAAAGCACCCCCTCCAGCCCGATCCCCCCAAAAACACACCGGGGGACACCCCCAGACAGACACCCAACTGCACCCCGCATCTGGGGACTCAATGTCCCCCCAGAGCCCCCCAGGAGCGGCCCCTCACACCCGGGGGGTCCCCACAAACAGGCTCATTGTGGGGGGGAGGAATGGGGGCACAAAAGGGATGCCCCGTCCTCCCTTGGGGGACCCTCCCCTACCCAAATTTGGGGGTCTCTTGTAGCCCAAAGCCCCGCGGGGGTAGGGGGTGTGGGATGGGGCAGCTAAGTGGGTGGGGGGAGGGACTCGGTGCTTCCCAAATTCCACCACTGCTGACCCCCCCATTTAGGGTGAACTGAATTCCTCCGTCCTCAGCCTGGTGCACCCCAAACCCAGCCAGGGGTGCGGGCTGGGGGCTCGGGGTGCCCCCCTACAAACCCACACACCTGGGGGTGCTGTGCACCCCTCCCAACACTTTCTGTCCCCACACCCCGGGAATAATTGGTGTTAGTGCCCCCCCTTTTTTGGCCCTAAACAGCTTAAGGAGGCATTTCGGGTGACCTTGGGCGGATGGGGGGGGGAGCGTGGGAAAACGCCTTCCACAGCCCCCCACCACCGCTTTGTCCCCTCCGCGTCCCCACCCCCTCCTCCCGCCGCGCGTCCCCCACCCGTGGGCGTGGGGGGGTCACACCCCGCCGCCGCCGCCACACCCCCGCGTGGAATTTCCTCCGCGCTCCACCCTCCGCCGGGGACGCTGGGGACACGGCGTGGGGGGGGGCACGGAGAGCACAGCGAGGGGGGACCCCCGGGATGGCGGGGAGGGAGGGGTGGGCATGAGGGGCCGGCGCGCAAACGGGGTCTGGCCCTTTAAGAGCAAAGGGCGTGGGAGGGGGAGGGAAGGGCGGGGCCGCCGCCCGCTGTGACCTCCCGGCCGCGGGGGGGCGCCCTCCCCGGAAGCGCGCGCGGCGCACGGGGGGGGGCTCCCCACGCGCGACCCCCGCGTGAGGGGGCGAGGGGGGAGGGGAGGCCTGAGGGGCGCGGGGGGCGGGACCCTCCCTCCCCATCCCTCCCCATCCCTCCCTTCCCTCCCTCTCCTCCCTCTCCCCTCTCCCCCCGCCGCACCCCGCGCTCCCATCCCCCCCCCCGCCCCCCTCAGCCCCCCACGCGCGCCCCCCCGCGCCCCCGGACCCACGCACCGTCCCCCGCGCCTCCTCCGAGCGCATCCCCGGCCGCCGCCGCCGCCGCTGCCCCCGGGGCGGTGCCGGGTGGGGCGGGGTGGGGCCCCCACGGGCGGGGAGGGGCCGCGTGGGGCGGAGCTCCCCTCCCCCACCCTCTTTTTTTTGGGGTGGGGGTGCCCCGCCCTTGAGATGACATCATCAGCAGCCAATGGGCGGCTCCCCTCGCATCCGGCGTTGCCATGGGAACGCGAGGGATTTGGGGGAGGGGGGTGGACCCCAATTTGCTCCCACCCCCACCACGGGGAGTGCACCCCAAAACCGGGGAGGGGGTGCTGGAGGGCTCAGGCCTGCAGAACTGGGGGGGCAGTGATGAGGGGGAGCAGAGACCCCCCCATTGGGGGTCCCGGGGTTCTCCTGCACCTCCATCCACCCCCAAATCCGAGCACCCACGGGGGGGCACTGCCTGCACTCCCCCCCAGTCTCTGCCTCCCAAGCCCCCCAAATATGTGGGGTACCCCCTCAGCACCCCAGTGGGGTCTCCCAGGGTGGCAGGGTCCTGGCAGAGCTGGGGGAGCCTCTCCAGGGGGTGCAGCAACAGGGATATCTGGGGGTCCTCTGGCCCCTTCTGGGGGGGTCTGGGGGTCCCAGGGAGCCCCTGGGCAATGGGAATCCACCCCCCACTCATCCCACGCTCCCTGAACCCCACTGGTTTTCCAGCCTCTCGTCCCAAAGGGACCTGGCTGCTGCCAGCGCTGTGTCCCCAGCCTCAGAGTGTCCCCAGGCCGAGGCTGGGTTAATCTCCTTATAACCCCCCAAATGCAGGACCCCCATGCCCAGCCCTGACCCAGCTCATCCCCAGCAGATGGGGACTCAGCCAGCTGTCCCCTAGCCACAATGTCCCTACCAGGGGTGACTCGAGGAGCAGGTCATGGCCACCAAGGCGGTGACCTTGGCACACACAAAGCTCATCCAGGTGTGGGAGGGGACCCCCATGACCCCCCACTTCTGCAAAGCCACCACACCACAACCAGCACCAAACCAACTTCGTTTTGGCAAAAAAAAATCCCTTTCCCTCCTCAGGAAATACCAGGGAGGCACCAGGACAGGCTCAGGTAGGGACCCTCCCTCAGCTAACCTCCCCTGGGGAGCTTTTGGGGACCAGAAAAGCTTTTGGGGGATGAGTGGGCCCTGCACCCAAAGGCTGCCGGGCCCCAGTGTCACCGAGCTGAAGGACCAGCAGCAGGCACAGGTGACCTCCCAAAAAATACAGAAGAAAGAGGTGAACAGGGCAGGGGCTGCCCCCAAGGTTCCCTCTCCTGCTCCCCAAGGATGGATTTGGGCAGGAGGGGTTGGACCCCGGGCAGGGAATGGTGCAGGTGCTCCTCACGAGGTGTCCACAAGGGACAATTCAGCAGTGACAGTTCAGGGTGACTTCGGAGAATCCATGACTCCCTGGGTGTGTTGGAGTCCAGCTGGAGAGCAGCGTGTGGCCACCACAGCCCCATGTCCATCCCCCCAGCAGCTCCATGGGATAATTCTGTGCCAAAAAGGAGGAAAAACAAGTGGAAGCATCCCCAGGGAGACCCTCAAGAGTTATTGGCTCTACACAGCTCATCCTGGGAGAGAGAGCCTGGGGCTGACCCCACTGGAACCTTCCATGCTCCAAGGCAAGAAAGAAATGGTCAAAAAATCTGGAAGTAGCTCCAAGACACCCTCAGGGAGCACAGCCTGTCCCAGGGAACTCACCCCAGGCCCAGAGCAGCTCCAAGGGGAAAGGAACTGGGCCAAGGGGGGATTTATTCAGGATCTCAGTGACACATGGCATCAAGTTTCTCCTCATTTCAAGGTCAAGTGGTGAAGGAAAAGGCTGGATCACGGCCACCTCATCCAGGTTTGGGATGACTGTGTCAGACACATCTGGAGAAGGCATCAATTTTATTTTTTTTTCTGAGGGAAGGAGCTGCCAGAGAAAGTGAGTTTTCCCACCAGAGGGTGGAATGAGGGTGATGAGCCTGATCTCCCAAACCTCCCTGCTTGGAAAGGAAGGAGCCAGAGCAGCTACCAACCCCAAAAAGGCCTGGGATCTGCTTTGGGAAGGGACAAAGGACACACCTCGGTGCCATCAGAGCAGGCAGGGCAGGCTCTGACACAGCCACCTGTGTTTGTCACAGTGATGAGCACAGTGGCACCTTGGCCACAGCAAAAGGACCAGGCTGATTCCCACAGAGCCCCAGTTCCACGCGCTTCAGGAAAAGGGATTTGGAGTCGGAAAACAACAGAACTTTACCCCAACCCCCACTGGGTCACTGTCCCAGGAGCTCCAGCTCCAGCCCAGGATTTGGCTCCTGACAGCTCTTGTCCCTCACAGCTCTTTGTCACCTGCCCTGCACTCCACATTCCCCCTTTGTCATTATCCCACTTCCATGTGCTGCTGTGGTTTATTCCCAAAGGAAACCCAGGGCAACTCCAGTCACCATGGCAATGAGCAGCATTCCCACCCTCCCTCCTTCCCGGCTCCCAGCAAGTGCCCAAAGCTCCTGGACCTGCGGCCTCTCCTGCTCTCCTGAAGCCCTTCCCAGTGGGATGGGATATTCCAGAGGCTCCAACAGCCTCTGGCTCGGGGGCAGGGCTGCAGTGTGGGAAGCTCTGACATTCCCAGCAGGGTCTGATCCCAGCTCCATGGGGGAACGGCAGTTCCCACTCCAGGTATTGCACACCCGGCGAACACAACCTGTGCCCGGCCCATTCCCAGCTCCGCAGGGGCTCCTTGGGAACAGCTCCTGTCCCACGGGGACATTCCCATGGGAACTCCCCCCCGAGGCAGGCAGCTGCTGGGTGGGCGGTGAGAGACGCGGGTGCTGAATTCCCGAGGATGGAGCGGGGCTGGGATCTCCTGTGCAGAGCCCGCAGCTTCTCGGGCCCTTTTAGCTCCCTGTTCCCACTCCCGGACTCGCCCCGGTGGATTTCTCCCTTCCCCGCGGGTGTGTGGGCAGGGATACAGGCACGGAGGCACCACACCCTTTTTTACACAGTAATTTGATGCAGCAAGAGAGAATCAAGGGAGGGAGATGCTGCCAAGCGATTCCCATTGAAACTCTGGAACGGCTTTCAGCCAAATCCCCCCAAAAGCACGACCGGAGCCATGCAGCTCCTGCAGCTCCTGCTTCCCAAAGCTGCCCTGGGATTTGGGAAAAGCAAAGCCGATCTGCAAAGCTCTCAGATCTGAAATCCCTGGTAGCAAAAATTTATTTCCATGACCAAAGATGAGGAGAAATTTATAAACTTATTCTAGCAACCATCCAAGGAAACAGTAAATATCCCATCAGCCGGCAGCCACGCATCCACGAGGGCTCTGCCACACCCCCTGCGGGCACATCACCTGTCCTGCTCCTTCCCCACCCTCCCGTGCCAGGGAATTCCGGGAAGGGCAGCAGCAGATCCAGCCAGCCTCCAGCTCTAGTGTCCAACGTGATAAGGAGAAAAAACAAGCAGCACACTCATTTCAAAGCCCAACAAAGACATGGACAGTGTTAGATCCTCCTAAAGAGAAGTAGTCCCGATTTGTTTTTTCTCCCCCCAAAGCCCCAGTGCCTGGGATCAGCGCATGAGCAGGCTGTGCTTTGGTCCATCCACCCTCTCCAGCTTCTCAAAGTGTTTCCTGGCGTTCCGGATGTTGATCAGCGTGGCCGCGGAAGCTGAGACGGAAAAGGGACAAGGGAGATAAAAAGAAGTTAAAAAGGGTGAGAATCACCACGGCCTCAGGGCTGCCTGGCTCCAACAGCTCTGTCTGCAGGGGCTGGGGGCATCCTGCTGCTCCCAAGCCAGGCAAAATCCACAGTGGGATTTTGGGCTGGGCAAAACTTAGGGTGGGAAGGGCTGGGTAAAATTTCATGTGAGACGGTCTGGGCAAGGTTTAAGGTGTGATGGTCTGGGTAGAATTCAGTGGGGGATGATCTGGGCAAGATTTAATGTGGGAAGGTCTGGGTAAAATTTCATGTGGGATGGGTCAAAATGAAGCATGGGAAGGTCTGGACAAAATTCAGATTCGAATGGTCTGAGGAAGATTAAATGTGGGAAGGCCTGGGCAAAGTTTAGTGTGGTATGGTCAGCTGATCCCAGAAGAACGAGAGGAAAAGCCTCTCCCAGGCAGAGCTGTTCATCCCAGAGCTCTTCCCAGCCCAGCAATGCCCAGCTGGTGCCTCACTGCCAGGGATCCCCCATTGTCCCAAATTCCCCAAGTGAGGAGGGCAGGGAAACCACAGCAGCAGGCCTGAGCAGTGCTGGGCAGTGTCCCTGGAGCCCCTGAGCTCCCAGCAGGAATTCCAAGAGCTGTGTAAACAGGGATCTGCTCCCAGGGGCTGCGGGCTGGCAGTGCTGCAGCTCCTCCTTGGGATAAATAGAGGCTGCTAAAATTAGAGCCTGTCCACCCGAGACAGCCCAGGCAGCCAGAGCAACACCCAAACATGAGCCAGCTCTGCTTCCTCCCCAAAAATCACTGGGACTGCCAGCTCCCAACTGCCCAAAATAGGCTTTAGGCTCGACCTGCTCAGCCAGGTCTGGTTTGGTGGCTCCCTGTGGCAGCAGCACCAGCTCAGCTGTGCCACCACCTCTGCAGAGTTCTGCTCACACTCAATCCCTCTCTCTTAACCAGTTCTGTAATTAAAAACTCATTTTCCAAAATAAACATGGTTTAAACTGGACTAATTCCACCTTTTTTGAGGTTATTCTGAGTTTATTTTTGTCCCAAGCAGGTTTCTCTTGGCTCTGACTTACGTATGGAGGGGTCTGACATGACCACCATCACGTAGGTGTTGGATGTGAAGATGTCAATGAAAGCAGCAAAGTTGGAGTTCCTGACCTCCATGCTCTGGAAAGAAGCTGCCAGCTTACTGAAAAACAAGGAAATAAAGGGGGAAAAAAGAGTGAATGAAGAGCTTTTGTGCCCACATGGCCAAAATCCCTGATCTGAGCTGCTGGGAACAAGGAGGAGCTGGAATTCCCACTTGGCAAGGTGTGGTTACAGCAGGGCTTTGGCTGGGCTTGGTTTTAAAGACAAATTCCTCCGTTTGGGGCCAAATGAGAACAATATCAGTTGATTGTGCATTGAATGAAGGAAATTCCAGACACAAGCCCCTTGACCAGGCCTGCTCCCTATGGATACCAGGGTTCAGCCATTCCCAGCTGGACACTCTGAGCAGCAGGAATCAGGCATAAAATGGGAATATCTGGAGACATCTGAAATCTGTAGACCCCCCCCAGAAACTTCTCCATTTTATCCAGCTCCACACACCCTCAGAATTAACCTGGCAGCGGAATCTGAGGGCTGTGCAAAGCCAAGCTTCCCAGTTTTCTACTGAAAATAGGGATAAACAGTGTTTGCAAGCCCCATCCTCCCCAGGCAGCCCTGTGGGCCTGGGCTGAAGCAGAGCTCTCCATTCCCAGTTTCCAAGAGAAACACTTCTGATCACTTCAGCCCTGGAATTCCTCTGCCTTGATCCAGGAGAAGGAGGCCTGGAATAAAACAGCACCAAAGCTCTCCCACCATGAGCAAAGGAGGAGTTAAAATTAACATCTAATGATTTGTGTTCCAGCAATATTCCACCCTGGCATTCCAGCTGCTGAGGAGTGGAACTGGAATTCCCTGGGAAGCCCTCTGGATAAAGCTGGAATAGCCCTGATCTCCCCAGTGCTGATGGGAGCAGCTCACCTGCAGCTCAGCTTGAACTGTTTGATGATGTTGCTGATCTTCTCAAACCTGTGCACATCCCGCTGCTCCTTGCACTGATAGTGGGAAATCACCTGGAGAAGGGGCACAGCCAGTCAGGGATCCCAGCAAACTCTCCCACAGCAGTTCTGGGAATGGCTGGGGAGCAGGGCAGGGATCCCCTCTGCCTTTGGCTGACTGGATCTTGGGAAGCGTTTACCAAAATTCTTGTGGGGCTTTTGTGCAGAAACTCAGTGACAGGATCAGCACACAAAGGATCAGCACAGATCTGCCAGTGACACCACTGTCCCCTGAGGGCTTCACCTCAGCAGCAATTAAAATCTTGATCCCAAAATAGATGGAAACAGTAAAAAAATGTGTCCATGGCCTCAGGAATGGGCCGAGTGCTGTGAGGGATTTTCCCTCCTAAGGTGCTGCTGGGATATTCCCCATCCTGCACAGGCAGTGATCCCAAAGCCAAATCAAACTGTTCCTCCCTAAGAAAAGCAGCTCAAAGGCAGCTGGATCCTTGCAAATTCCTTCTCCATGACTCCAGTCAGAGCAGAGGGAGGAGCCCCGAGTGCCTGGATGGCACCCAGAGGATCTGAAGGGCTTTAGGAACCCTTGAAAACATCTCCATAGACATTCCCACCAAGCTGGTGGCCCCAGCCTTTACTCCTCAGCCACAGGAGTGAGAGCTGCATTTCCTGCCCACACAGCTCTATCCCCACAGCAAACACGACAGGAACATCTTCAAATTCTTAGGCCAGCTGCTTTGAACTCTTCACAATCCCAAAATCAGCTCTCACTGGATGTGTCAGGAGCCCTTACACAGGGATGTGAAACTGCTCTATTCTGGGAGTCACAATTAACAGGTTTTTTAGGGTTTTTTTCCTCTTTTTTTTTTTCCCTTAACTACCTTAAACCCATCACTTTTTAAATTTGCCCAATTATTTGCACAAGCACAGCTTTAGCCACATTCAAGACTTGCAGTTACCAGTGTTCAATTTCCTTCCTAAACTTCCCAGATGAGGTTTCTTCACTACAATTCAAACACAATTTCAGAATAAAGTTTTCAGAATAAGATTTCCCAAAGAGATTTTCACAGGAAGATTTCCCTTCAAGAGAAGAGAGTCCTGGGAATGTTTAAATATATGAAAAAAAGGGAGAAGTTTTTTAACAAGTCACCATTGCACCTAAATTAAGGACACAATTTTTGTAGCAAAGATAATTTCTTTCAGTTAAAAATGTCCTTGTAACAATCACACTGTCACACACCCCAAGGTGGAACTATTCATTATCTCCAAAAGGTCAAAAAACAGAACTTGTCAGGCATGGCGAGTGTTTGTTTCTGATAGTTTAAGGAGGGACAAAAGTCATGGCTCCTTTCCCAAATTCCCTCCATCATTTCTAAATCACCAGCAAGGAAAAGACTCCAAATAATTCAAGTATTTCCTTCAGCTCAGCAAGAGTTTGGTGTGAAGTGTGAAGAGCCCAGCCCAGCAATCAGGAATATGGACAAGCACCAAGAGTGGTTTCATCCAGCACCTCTGCAGAGGGATTGGGAACACAAGGACCTGGAAGAGCATCACATCATGGCTACCCCATCCATGCTCTGGACTTGCAGAACATCAAAAATCAAAAGAAATCAGGTCCAGCTGAAATGCCCCAGCAGGAGGAAGTGAAAAGGTTTGGTTGTGAAGCTACAAAAGGTTCCTGCCCTGTGCAGAGGGGGATTCTCAGAGCAGCCCCACACAATGGGGACATGAAACACTCCCAGAGCCCGCAAGAGGAAACCCCAACCAAACCTCAGCTCCGCTGCTGCACGGGGAATTTTGGGATGGTCCTGTGGGCCACAGGGTCCCAGTAGCTGCTTTCAGAATCCCAAAGCCTGGATCAGGGCGTTCTGCACTGGGGCTGGCACCTCCCAAATCCTCAGAATCCCACAATGGGTTAGCCTGGAAGGACCTCAAAGCTCATCCAGTTCCAACCTGACACCTCCCACTGTCCCAGGCTGCTCCCAGCCCCAGTGTCCAGCCTGGCCTTGGGCACTGCCAGGGATCCAGGGGCAGCCCCAGCTGCTCTGGGCACCTGTGCCAGGACCTGCCCACCCCCCCAGGGAACAATTCCCAATTCCCAATGTCCCACCCATCCCTGCCCCCTGGCAGTGGGAGCCATTCCCTGTGTCCTGTCCCTCCATCCCCTGTCCCCAGCCCCTCTCCAGCTCTCCTGGAGCCCCTCAGGCCCTGCAGGGGCTCTGAGCTCTCCCTGGAGCTTCTCCTCTCCAGGGGAGCACCCCCAGATCTCCCAGCCTGGCTCCAGAGCAGAGGGGAGGGAAAGGGAGGCTCCATCCAGGGAATCCATCCCAGGAACTCACCAGGAACGTGGCTCTCTCAAACAGCAGCACCTCGTCTGCCTCGATGATCTGAGCAAAGTTCCTCAGGTTCATCTCCAGCTGCTGCACGTTGGGGATCAGCTGATAGACAATGCTGGACCAGGCCTGGACATGGAGACACAGAAAGGTCCCATCAGCTCCTCTCCTCAGCCCTCGTGAGAAATGTGCTCCCAGAGGGATTTTTGGCACTCCTGGGTGCTGACAGCCTGGGTAAGGCTGAGAAGCTTCTCTGCCCTCCATGCCCAGGTCCCAGAGGGAGCCCAGACCTGAGGAGACCCTGCCCTGGCTCCAGTTCTTCTCCAGCAGGCAGAGAAACTGCAGTGCTGCTGAACAGACTTAAATCATCCCTGCTTTAAGTTGGGAATGCTTCTGTCTCCTTCTTCCACTCGAGTTCACAGAGATTTTTAATCCTGAGCAAGGTCACCATGCAGATGGACACTTGGCAGCTCATGCCTGACACAAACAAAGTTCCACCTTATCCCAACAAGCCAGGAACAAGCCCAGGAGGGACTGGGGAATGCTGGTATCAACATCTGTGCTCATCCACACTCGGATTTTCCAAGCTCAGCCTCCCCTCCCTGCCCAGCTGCTGACCCAGGTGTGGGGCAGTGCCCAAACTCCCCCTTCCCGAGAGCCAGGGGGATATTTGGGATGCCTGTCTGCCAAGCTCCTGATATTTACCACAGGCTCCTGACTTTTTAAAATTAATTAATTCAGCATAGGATTAATTTGGGTTTCACTGACACCCTGCAGAAGCAGCTGCTGCAGAGCTGAACACACCAGCAGCAGCCCCAGGGATCCTCCTCCTGCTCTTGCTCCCAGTGGGAAGGCAGATGTGGAGAAGAAGCTGCACCAACCTTGTAAAGTGTCTCATCCCAGATGGAAGTTCTGAAACAAACACATTCCAAGGGCCGGGAAAGGCGCTTCAAGTCTTCCTCGCGCTCCTTAAAAATCTGGGGAACAAAGAGAGTTTAGGGGTTGAGTGTAAATGCTCCTGTGGTTGCTGCATGGATTTATGGGATGAATTTCACATGGATCTCTGGGATACTGCAGGGGAGACTGGCCAGGAACCCTCCCAGGGAGCAGCAGGGCCTGGGATGTCATGCTGCAGAATCCCAAAATTGTTTGGGTTGGAAGGAGCAAAGGTGTGCTGGGAGCTCTGGAATCAGGCAGGAAAGGCTTTTGTTGTCCCTAGGATGACACACTTCAAAAGGAGGCAGGAAAAGCTCTGAGAACATCTGAGAGAGCCTTCGAGGAACAGCCCCTCGGGGCTGCTTTGAGGTGTGACCCACATGGCACAAGGGATGCGCTTCCATGGCAACCGCCAGCTCCTCACCAGATCCCGCTGGTCCTCCTGCACCAAGTCCATCTTGTGCACCAGGCAGAAGATCTTGGCATCAGGGGAGTTCTGGAGAATGGCCTCCAGGCAGGACTGGTAGTAGTGCATGTCCTTCTCCAGCTCCCTGCTCTCCACGTCGAACACGTAGATCAGCACCTCCACGTTGCGGAAGATGTTGTCCCTCTGGCTGGTGAAGTAGTTCTCCATGAAGGTGTCCTGGCTGAGGGAGCAGAGCAGGAGATCCCTTTAGAGCGGCTCCTGCCTGGGTTTGTGGGAATCTCCTCCTGCCAGGAGGGCAAGGCTGGGATTTGGAGCTGCAGCCCTCGCTCGGGAGGCCAGGCTGGAGCTGCATGCCCTGGGCATTCCCAAGGAAAGCTG